GCTGGGGGTACTCCAGGACAGGTTTGAGAACCACTGCTCTAGAGCAGGTCTAACCAACCGTGCTCCTAGAGAGCTACCTTCCTGCAGAGCTCAGTTCCAACACAACCTGCCTTCAATCTTCAAGTAATAATAAACACCTTGGTTAGCTGGCTCAGGTGTGTTTGATTAAAGTCTGAGCAAAATTCTGCAGAAAGGTAACACTCCAAGAGTAGGGGTGGCTACCCTTTCAGACCCGTGGTTTTCAGTCCTGGAGTATCACATCACTGCACATTCTGGATGTCTTTCTTTAACACATTAACTCATTTGTAGCAGTTCCAAGACCTGAACGGTTTCAGATATGGACACATCCAAAATGAGGTACTTAAAATGACTGTTCGCCCAAAAATGAAAATTCTGTCTGCATTTACTCACCCTCATGCTGTTCCAAACCTGTAAGACTTTGATTAATCATCAAAACACAAATTAAGATATTTTTCAATGAGAGGTTTCTGTCCCTCCACTGAAAGTCCAGGAAAGCAAAAAGATCCAAAAATGTCATAAGGGCATGTGGGTGAGTAAATCATGACAGAATTTTCATTTTTTGGCGAACTACCTACCCTCTTAAGGACCAGAACTGACAACTATGCCATGACAATAAGGGTGACAATAACAAAAGAAGGAAACCTTGAGGTTCTCAAGAGAGTGCTTTAGATGCCACTGGAGGGAATGGAGTGGAGAAGGCTAAGGACAGGCTGTGGACTCTAGGCTGGTTAAGTAGATGATGACACGACCAAGTCAAACTCTAGACCACAGCTCCCAGAGAGCTCGGGGAAGTGGCTGGCCCTGCCAGAAGGAACCGGTGAGCCAGGAGACTGGTTGACCTCCTGGTTTTTGGGAGCAACAGGGGGTGGATGAATCTTCTCCGCCCTAGGAATTATTGGTGAGCGGATCCCTGGTGAAAGAACCCCTGGGCTCTTCCCTGTCGGTGAGGAGGCTGCAGCCAGGTTGCGGTAATCAGTGCCAAAGGGCGAGCTGTTGGACGGAGGGAGTTTACTTGCCACTTGTTGGCTCGTGAACCGTGACAGCACCTGAGTGACAGTGTTGCGGGCAATCTGCTTTGCAGTAGAATTGTCTGGAGTAGTAGGAGCAGCCGCAGTAGGAGAGAGGTCTCGAGGCGAGTGGACAATGGATACTTCGTGTTTGTGGTCTGCCTCAGCTTGTTGCTGAAACTTGTGGCGTGCTGCTTGGAATCGCTGGTTGATGCTGGATTGGTAAGAGGATGGATAGGTCGGACTAGAGCAGCCTAGAGAGGCCAGGCGCTTGGTCAGTACTGGGGAAGAGCAAGGAGATGAGCTAAGGGAGGACGAGGCAGGACTGCTGGGGGAGAGACACTGCAAGGCTCCACTTCCTCCAGGGAGCACTACCCCATTGTCCACCGATCCCTCTTCCTTGCACCTCTCGTCTGCTGGAGACTCTGGTTCTCTGGGAGTGTGGTGACCATTTAGCTTGTGTTGTGGAGATGATTTAGATGCAATGGTTTTGCCATCGACTTCTGTTTGACTAAGAGGAGGCATGACACCTGTGGTTGCTTTCTGTGGAGTTTTTACCTTTTCTTCATTGTCCTCTTCCAGCCCTGCCTTTTCTCTTTCTTTCATTTCATCCAACTCTTTCTTTAGACTATTGAACTTCTCTAAAAGCTCCTGATATAGTTTTTCTTCCTTCTGTAGTTTCCCTCTCATCTGCTCGCGCTCTGTATCCAATTCGGCTAGCTTTCTCTCACCTCTCGCCTCTATCTGCTGAGCATGAGCACGTTCGCTCTCCAGCTCCCCCTTTAGGGTTTTGATAGTACTGCTCTCCTGTTCCAGCTGGCGGCTGAGCTCTGCAACCCGCCGGCTCTCCTCCTCTGCCTGTGCTGTAGCCTTCTGACATTCTTTCGCCAGGGTCGAGGATAACTGCTGCTGCTGCGCTAAATCCTCCTCAGCTTGATTCGACAGGACTGACTGCTCACGTTCTAAACGTTCGACTTGAGCCCTCTCAAACTCCAGCTGTGAAGAAGAAAAGCAAGAGACGTCACTTTAAAAATTAAACGCATTATATAGACATAAGACTTCAGACAACATCGAAGATGAATTCTACAATTGTTCTTGAAAATATCTTGTTTACTTGCATCTTCATGCCTGAAACATAACTTATGAATATCTTTAAGACTTCAGGACCCTATGAGCTGCAGAATGTGTGAGAGTCATGGTCAAGCATCCAGGAAAAAAATGAGTGTGTATGTGTGTGCAAGGGAAACCCAGGGCAGGACAGGAAGGGCCTTGTACATAATACTGGAGTTTGTACTTTGACCTTAATATCACCTTCTCCTAATCCTATAAAAACGCAAACACACAGTGGAATGTCTTAGCACACACACACAGAGGCGGATGGACTTTCACGCACCACAGTCCATAAACACAATGGAGCCTTTCCTCTGTAGAAAAGAGATCTGCGCCAACACTGTTACACAACAAAGCCACACAAAATCCGCTGGCACAGGGTGCTGTGATTGCTTTTATTTTGCAGTTTCAGTTGTATTTATAATGGTGCAGTTTGTGCATGTGTATATATGTTTTGGTTGCGTTGCCTGGTTACCTGTTGCAGTAGTCTGTCTCGTTCCTTCTCCAGCATGGCAGTGATGTCATCACCCGCAGCATTGTCTTGAGCACGTCGTCGTTTCTCTTCTTCTAAATCAGCTATTACCTAAAGGCATACACGCATTCAAACATCAGGTCAAGAAAGATGACTAATTATGACTGCATCTAATAAACAGTAAGCATATATTATTTTAATTTGAGTTAATGATGTTTGAGTCACATTAATTGAGTCACATTATTTCATCTAAAAATTAAATTAAATTATTTTATTCACATTTCCAAACCTGTATGACTTCTCTTCTGTGGAACACAAAAGAAGATATTTTGAGATTTTTTTTTTTATTTTTTTTTTTTTTGGTAATCAAAAGTTTTTGTTTACTAACATTCTTAAGAATATCTTATTTTGTGTTCCACAGAAGACAGCAAGTCATACAGATTCAGAACGACATGAGGGTGAGTGACTGATATGGTTAAAAAAATGCATAAATACAAACAAATAATAAAGTAATATAGTAATGTATAATACATTTATACATTACTATATTACAAGAATGTAATATAGAATGATTATCATGCATTTTTCTTATGTTTATGAGTTTGCATAATTATCATATTAGCAAAAAAATAAAAAGTGTTTGATCAAAGGAGATCTGCACCCTTTCAAAATAAGACTCACCCAGCGCACATAACAGAGAGATTAGTTGTTTAATTTTGGATTAATCTTTCATACAATGTTTATGAAATAAATAAAACCTTTTTTTTTTTACTTTCAAAGAATTGAATGAACCAGTCCCATAAGCATACATACATTTTCAATACACGCATTCAAGCTACTGTCTATATAGGCAGCTACCTTCAAACCCAGACTGATTAAAGTGGCATTAACTCACTAGTTTTAATGCCTACAGCTTTTTAGCATTACCATTTTTGGTTCCCCTAAGAACCATTTTAGTGAACTGTTCTTAAAAGAACCATTTTTCTTAGTGTTTAGAACATTTGAAAAATCTACACATCCTTTTTTCACTATAAAGAAACTTTCGTGGAATGGAAACGTTCCATGATTGTTAAAGGGGTCATATGATGTTGCTAAAAAGAACATTGAAATGTGTTTATGCGCTAAAAAACACATTATTGTCCACATACTGTACATTATTGCTTCTCCTCTATGCCCCGCCTTTCTGAAGGTGAAGTCCGGCATACCTCATCAGAGAGAAGTCTGTCATTTCACTGGACGATCCAGTGGACATTTTGATTAAAAATTACATAGGTCAAAAAAAGAAGAAAAAAAAAACATACGCACATATGAACTGTCTACAGTAAGTTCATAATAGCATCCATTTTGAAAATAGATAGGGTGAATATTAATTCAATACCAGCTTTTACTTTACATGATCATATATGACGGCAAAATGCCATCTAAATGTAAAAATAGAGGGAATGACAATTAAATGCACATTTACAAACTAATATGCCATATTGGTCAATTCCAATAAATAAAAAATGTGTAATATCTGACATGATACTGTGAATTACAGGCAAATAATCATGACCTCATCAGGCTAACATGTACATGACGCATACACATTTGGAATTTTCATGAACACGCCTTTGTGTCCTCCTTAAATATACCAATGCAAGCAAAAAATGTAGACTTTTATCTGCCTGATTACAATGCATGTGGGAAAGAAAGTAATATTTAACCAACCAGACTTCAAGAGACCTGAGCTTCCGCCTTTTGCTGGTTATTATCTGTGATCATTCAGTCTGAGACTCAAAGTCTTTTAATAACACAGAGAATGAGGTGTGGTGTGGACTGGGTGTGAACATCAGCATATTGATCAGCACAATGTGGCATCTGTAACCACAATAACCATTAAAATACAGGCTGTTAACTCTAACATACTTTTTCGAAAAATTGAAATCGCATCATATGACCCCTTTAAAGATTGTTCATGAAACCATAGGTGCCAATAAAGAACCTTTATTTTGAAAAGTACAGCCTTCATATAGGAGCCTAAAATACAGTCTAGGTAGGTAGCTCAGATCTTTGTATTTGTCTCTCACCAGTCTGTGTCTCCTCTCTGCAGCAGCGAGCTGTTTCAGCAATTTCTCCTTCATGTTGGTGCAGTGGGCCATCACTAGCTTCAACACGCCCAGCGGGTTCAGACACACGGGACCATCATCCTGAGCCTGCGACAGTTCGCTGTCCCTCAGCAGTGCTATGAAGGGGTCACGGAGGTTGTAATGTCCATATCGCTCCTGTACAAATGCATCTCTCTGTTGTGCCTAAAAAATGTCAAAGGCAGACAGGAAAAGATAGGAATAAGTAACTGGTTTCCATTGAGATGTCGTAATCACACAGCAAGTTCATAGAATGACTGATTAATACCTTACATTATGTCTGCATATAGGCCATGTGTTTTTATGAGAGACAGAAAGAGAGATGATGCAATTACAGCTGGTCACTATCAGATCTATTTTCACAAAACATAATCACAGCCCTGACCCCTCCTCTGCGGGCAGGTGTTAAACCTCCCCTGGGCTGAATGGATGTAGAGGGGGGCTCACACCACAAAAGGCCCAGCTGTAGGGGGTGTTGTTCACTACTCATTGTGCATGTGCGCGCTTGTGTGAGAGCTGGAAAGGGGAGCAGTGTGACTAATTTAGGAGGGTTGGGGTGGTCTTACTAAATAGATCAGCAGATGGAAGGCACACACACACACATATACACACACACACACACACACACACACAAAAGGACAGGAACAGACATGTGGTTTATGTTCTGGGTGACACACAAGCTGCATCCTGCTGTATTCCTCTCCACTTTTCATGCAGTTCTTCCATCCACTGCATTCTTCATTAATCATATCTGATTCAAACGAGTTGATTGCCCTCAAAAAAAAAACTTGGATGAAAAAAATAATAAACTGTCAATATTAAAATTTCATAGTATTTTGTGTAAATATCTAAAATAATATATATATATATATATATATATATATATATATATTGTGACGAGCGTCCCAAAGCTGCATCAGCGTTGCCCTGGAAACAAGCGAGGAACACCTGGCCGTCCTCATCACAGGCTGATCGGTCACAGCTGCAGCTCATCAGGCGGCGGCCACATAAGCCACGAAGTAATATTTAACCAACCAGACTTCAAGAGACCTGAGCTTCCGCCTTTTGCTGGTTATTATCTGTGATCATTCAGTCTGAGACTCAAAGTCTTTTAATAACACAGAGAATGAGGTGTGGTGTGGACTGGGTGTGAACATCAGCATATTGATCAGCACAATGTGGCATCTGTAACCACAATAACCATTAAAATACAGGCTGTTAACTCTAACATACTTTTTCTGTCTTTCAATCTCTCTGTATCAAGCAGAAATTCATATTGTACTTATGCTGAAGCTGTGTGAGTGTGCTAAGTGCGTCTCAGACCAGCAGGCTGGATAGTTTATTTGTTTAACTTCAGCATTAAGCAGTGTTGCATACTACTCAACATCATTACAGAAAATTACAGTCCATTTCCAGCCCTAGAGACCTTAATCTGTGGCCCTGCCGGCCTCTGAGTGACCTTATCCAGAGATCAGAGAGAGAGACAACTGAAGGAAGCAGATGAGACAGCTGAAAGACAAACATCACTATTACTATTGCTCATATAATGGGTTATATATTTGATCTAATACACTAATTATTACATTTTTGGCTGTAAATGATATGATGAAGAATGATTCACTTTGGCAAAAGAGTAATGAACCACCTGGAACACCTTAGTCCTGGCAACCAATATTTTGATATATACTACAGTCCAAAAGTTCATGGTCAGAAAGATTTTATTTTTTGAAAGAAATTAATAATTTTTTAAAGCAAGGATACATTCAATTTATAAAAAGTCACAATACAACATTTATGTTACAAAATATTTATATTTCAAATAAATGCAGATTTTTTTTTTACCTTATATTCATCAAACAATCCTGAAAAATGTGGCACAATTTCCACAAAAATAAGCACAACTGCTTTCACCATTGATAATAATAAAGAGTGTTTCTTGAGCACCAAATCAGCATATTAGAATGATTTCTGTTTTGCCATCAGGAATAAACTGCATTTGAAAACATATTCAAATAAAAAACAGTTATTTTAAGTTGTAATGCTATTTTACAGTATCTCTGTTTTTACTGTATTTTAATCAAATAAATGCAGCCTTGGTGAGTATAAGAGACTCCTTACCAACCACAAACTTTTGAATGGTAATGTTCCTTTTTTATTTCACACTTCTATTTTAAATATTTGAATTCTTTAGTAATATCATAATATTTTGCAGCTGTAAACAAAGCTTCGTTTTTGTCTCTCTTCATACCCAACACAACAGACCAGACATACACCCACAATAACAGTCTACCGGGACAGACAGCACTTCACACACTAGCAACTGCCTTTCCCACCAGAAATCCAGCCCTTCAGTCTCAAGACGTTTAGTTTAAACATTAGTTACTCATTTTACTGCTTTCTCTGCGCACTGTAAAAGATTTCACTGTGCATTTATCGTAAATTACTGGCAGTTAATTACATTTCAGTACTTCCTGTGATGTAGCATAATTGTGCCGCACAATCACAATGATTATCTGAGTTGGCACAGTAATTTTGTGTTGTACATTTGTAGATAAACTGTAACAGTATATCACAACTCTCAATAGCCAGTACTTCCTCAAAAGCTGACATATGATTCCAGTTTGTAAAACTGTTTATTGGTACAAAAGCAAATAAGAATAGCAGGTTTCTAAACATAAGACATTCAGCTTTAATGATTTAACTCACTATTTTAACTCTAACTATTTATATAATCCCTTTAAGTCCCACTGCTCATCCAAGGATAATTAATTAGATTATTTATGAGCAGGGGCTTATGGGTATTCCCTCACTGTGGGATCTCAATGCAGAATGATTCAGTTATTTTAGTTTTTTTTTAAATGGTCATTTATTGGCTAAATATATTATTTTACTCTGTGTGTGTTGCTGTGGCATTAGTAATATATATGCAGGACAAAGCAGGATGCTCTTTGTGCTGTTGCTGTTTTTAATCAAGCTCTTGCTGATCTGAGGCGCTTACCGTCGGAGACAGAGAGGAATCAGGAGACTTCCTGGAAGGAAGTTCACACCGAAGGAATCCTACATCCCTCTAATCAACACACAAACACATACTCCAGGCAGTTCAGAAGAGCAAGGAACCCCAATGGTTTTCTCTCTGAGTGTGTGTGTGTGTGTGTTTGTGTGGAAATGAGTCACATTTTTAAGGTACAACATGGGCTAGACATCCTCCCTATTAGGGCAAAACAAACTGACTTGTTTAGTCTGTTTGGACTGTGATTTTAACATGCAATTCCCTATTCATGAAATTCGCCTTTCAGAGACCTGTAAATAGACCTGATGTTCCTTTATAAGGCTTAGATGATGAAGCAGAGAGTGAGTCATATTAACGGCCGGTTTCCCGTTTAACCGCCAGCCCTCGGGATCTTGGCTCCTCCATTACATCAGAATGAGCCATGGGAAAATAACTCAAAAGGAGGAGCAAAAAAACGCTGCAGTTGATCTGGAGGCTTCCAAAACATCTAAAGTGATTGACACTGTTCTCCAGCATGCACAAATACATGCACATACACACAACACAACATTCATGATCAAAGACTCAAGCCCAAAGGGTCTCTCAAGGTTCCCTCTGCGAATATAGCCCTTACTGCCCAGGAAGAAAGTCAAATGAAGCTGTAAAGACACACAGACACACACACACACACACACACACACACACACACACACACACACACACACATTTAGTATCTTGCCAAGGGCTGAGC